GAAGTACTTCTTCACCCAAAGAGTGATTAACACTTGGAATTCACTGCCACAGGAAGTGGTGGCGGCTACAAGCATGGACGGCTTCAAAGGGGAATTAGATAAGCATATGGAGCAGAGGTCCATCAGTGGCTATTAGCCACAAGGTATAGTTAGGGACTCTGGGGCAAGTGATGCTCTGTCATCTTGGTGCTTGGGGGGGGGTCAACAGTGGGAGGGCTTCTAATGTCCTGGCCCCACTGGTGGACCTCCTGATAGCACTGGTAATTTCTGGCCACTGTGTGATACAGAGTGTTGGACTGGATGGGCCTTTGGCCTGATCCAACATTGGCATCTCTTATGTTCTTATGTTCTTAAGAGATCATTAATACATATTTTGAATTAATCGATGTTTCCCTAATATCAAAACAGTAATACATGAGAGTTATTGCAATAAAATTGTAGAGAATAAAGCAAGCATTCAAAAACAGATTTGACTAAAGTGTATGCTTCTTAGCTTAATGTTATTGGTTAATAATAGGTATCAGACAGTCAGAGTTACATTATTATACTTATTTTCTTCCTTTACGTTTCTTTTCCCTTTTATTTTTAGGAGGATTAGGAGCTGTAGCCCCTAATTCTGCTTCAGAGTCTAAGGATTCAGCCGACGGGGAGTTCTTAGAACTTTCTTCATTTTTGTCTTCTTCTTTTTTTGCATCTTTATTGTCCTTTGCTAGTGAACATGCCCGTTTTAAGAAATTTTCTATAGATCACGGATCTGGATACTATCTGGTTGGAATGATTATGATCAATGATATCAAGACAAACATCTTGCTGTATGCTTGTTGCTACTTAGAGAAATTGATGATGTTCAGAGGAAGTATCTTCAAAATGGAACTTGATTCTGGGGATTTTCGTCAACTACTATACTTTTTTCTACTTACCTGTTACACCTTCAAATAATGTGAACTTTTTTGTCACTTGTTGGCTTTGCATTGCTGAATATGTAGTGAGGACTTTTCATGTTGTAATATGCTGTATTCTGATTATTTTCTCCAGGGAGACAGATCTCTGCTGTCTAGAGTTCACTCTCCAGGCCCCACTTGGAGGTTGCCAACCCTAGGACTGGCAGCAGTTTAGGGTTGCCATGTCCCCCCAGGCGCTGGCAGGGGATGGGGGGACAGTTGCCAGATCCAGTCTGGGAAACTCCTGGAGATTTTGGGGTGGACCCTCGGGAGGACAGGGACCTCAGTGGGGTACAATGCCCTAGAGTCCATCCTCCAAAGCATCCATTTTCTCCAGGGGAAGTTATCTTAGTAGTCTGGAGCTGAGCAGGAATTCCAGGGGATCCCCAGGTCCCACCTGGAGGCTGGCATCCCTAGGCAGCACCCTCTGGGTGACTTGATACCACCTGATTTGCATGACTCAACTAGGCCCAGCTGCTTGGTGCTGTTCATCAGCAGCCACCCTATGAAAGCCAGTGTGGTGCAGCAGATAAAGCTTCAGAGTAGGGTCTGCAAGACCCAGGATCAGATCCCCATCTTGCGGTGGAAGCTGACTGCGTGATTTTGGACTAGTCAAGTACTTTCAGCCTAACCAACCTCATAGGGTTGTTGTGCAGGTAAAAAGGAAGAGAGAATATTGTAAGCTGCTTTGGTCCCCACTGTGGAGAAAGACTACAATTTTCCTAGGTAGAGGCTGTGGGGGAGGGGGTGGAGATGGAAAGCTGAAGACAGAAAAAGGCAGATAAAGGTAGGTTGGCTGTTGAGTGGGAAGGAAATAGGGTTGCCAACTCCAGGTTGGTAAATTCCTGGACATTTGAGGGGTGGAGCTTGGGAAGGGTGGGGTTTGAGGAGGGGAGGAACTTCAGACCAATATAATGTCATAGAGTCCACCCTCCAAACCAGCCATTTCCTCCATGAGAACTACCATTGCCAGCCTCTGGGTGAGGGCTGGAGATCACCCAGAATTACAACTGTTGTCAAGGTGACAGAGATCATTCCCCCTGGATAAAACGGCTGCTTTGGAGGGTCAAGTCTATGGCATTATACCCTACTGAGGCTGCTTGCCTCCCCAAGCCTCACTGTCCCAAGGCTCCACTCCCAGAAGGGAGGGAAAGTGTGAGACAGGTAAGGGTAGATGGGTGGGAGCAAAGCTGTGAGGAATGGGATGACCATCCCACAAGTTTCTTGAGGGTCTCCATGTGTAACAATAACAACAACAACAACAACAACAGGGCTGCCTCTTTGCAAGATTTGGCTTTGCAGGAGCTGGGTGAAACTAAAGGAAGAGGGAAACCATAGAGAATGATCCCGTTAGGAGGCTGCATCCTGGCAATGACCGCAGCTTGTCCTGACTGGTCTTGCCTTGTTCCAGCGCTGGCTTGGCTGATGGGTTTAGTAGGATCTGATCAGCAAATGGTTTCCCTCAACCTCATAGGTTCTGGTCACACGGGCCGGAAAATGCAGGGGGGGACGCGTGGCTGTTTGCCCCGGAGCAAAGTAACGTGTGGCAGCCCGATCACATGTCCCGTGGAGGTCCTGTGGGTATGCCGTTAGGTGCCAATCACACGGCTATCCTGCAGCATGGCAAAGAAGCGGCACAATCACACTGGCAAACGCTAGGTGTCGCTTCCGTGGCAAACGGGAATTTCCCCCCCTCAACACAGTGTACGCATGTGCCGGTGGGCATTTGTGCACATCCTGTGGAGACTTAAAAAAAAGAAACATCCAGTTTGCGACAGGACATGGGCAGGCGCCAGATGCCATGGGATTCCAGCAGAAACCCGATCAGATGCCTGCCCTTGCGCCACGTTTTCCGGAAACTAGCACATTGTATGTACTAGTTTTTTACTCCGTATCTTTGGCAAGCCATGGGTTAGCCACGGGTGCACTACGCTTCCCAGATGTTGCAGTGTGATTGCGCTCGGAAAATCTACCTATCATCCGTATCTTTAGCACGGCAAATGCTCCGTGTGAACGGGACCATAGTAAACTTTTCAGAAAGGCCAAGACAGCAGAGTCAGAACAACTCCTGTTTACTGTGGTCAGCTTCCCCTGTGTCCCTAGTGGCTGCAGTCAAACTTGCATTAGGAAAAAAAATTAAATGAATTCAGTGAATACAGCATGATGCTGGCAGGGGTCCTGCAGCTGACCTGCCCCCCAGTTTTGTCCCCCCAGTCCCCCCCCAGTTAGCAACCCTGTTTGCTTTCTTTTTTGGTGAATCTCCTACAGAAAACAAATGGAAAGTGAGGATTCTACTCCATAGAAATTATGCTGTGATAAAATATTGCCATCCTTTAAAGACTCCTGTTTATTTTGGCTGCAACAGACTAATATGGGTACCCTTTGGCAATAAGACAGTAATTGAATTGATGCTCACAACCATCTTGCCATTTCCCCAAACTCATCATATTGGGAAATCAGCATTAATGAGAATGCAGACAGCTGTAGTAATTCTGTAAATCAGAACAAAGTCATGATTTCTCACCAACTAAAACCTCTTTACCATGGGACCTATAGAATGTTTACATGCATTGAGCTAAATAAATATAAGCTTTAACTTGTTGCAAACCAAAGCATAGATTTGAATCACAATAAACACTTAATATTGACAGACAAACTAGATTTCTTTGCAATGCAATTCAGATGATGCACATCCAATATTTCAAAGAATGTTATGTAGTCAATTTTTTTTTGCCTTCAGCCATCATCAGATGCTTAAAAGACAGAGTCCGGGGCTGATTTCGCACTAGAGCTGCCTTGCCGTTGCGCCGCCGTTTGCCCTGACACCATTGGTCAATTTCACACCTGAAGCTGCGGGGCTGCATTTTGACTCGCGGCTTTGCCCGATTTTCCCCGCAGTTTCGTGATCCTGTTTTTTGAGGATCACGAAACTGCGGAGGAAATCGGGCGAAGCTGCGGGTCAAATGCAGCCCCGCAGCTTCGGGTGTGAAATTGACCAATAGTGTCGGGGAAAACGGCGGTGCAACCGTGAGGCAGCTCTAGTGCGAAATCAGCCCAGTAGGTTATGCTTCTGAATTATTTTATAACCTGTTCCTCAAATGCTCCAGTTCTAATCCTGTCTTGGCTTGAAACACTCTTCAATACATTATTCAGAATATGTTGGAGAAAAAAAAACCATGGCTTCATATCTCTTTAATTCGTTCTTTAAAATACTTTGGAAAAAACATGGCTTCATATCACTTTCAGCTCCAAGCATGTCTAAGTCCATCTACAAGGTATCTAAATCTAATGTTGTTCTGTGGCATAATTTAATCATCTTTACCTCATGCTCTCAGAATATGCCATTGCTATCCTTTAGGTATGCAAAGATTATAAAAAGAGGAGGCAAGTGAGATTCGAGGATCCAATGCCCAGAGAATAGCGATTACCTTACAATCTATTTCCAGGAAAGCCAAGTATTTATTGGTTTAGTACTTAAGATGAAGAACTGCTCACTGTTCTTTCTTTCTGATGTCAATGCATTCTAACCCACTAAGGTCTTTACAACTGTAGGAAGAAAGACTTATCTGAAAAAAAGTTGCCACTTTTATCCCGCTCCCCCCCTATTTCTCACTGTAATGTGTTCATCATCCTTCTGGAAACAGAAAGTATTTGAAGCCACTGACTCTTCATATTGGCAAAGATGATGATGGCAGATGATCCAATATCCTCAGCTATGCCCTTCAAAACACCATTCTCATTCATTCTTCTCCAGGACCTGGCTATTATTTCTCTCATTATCTCTGAAATATGTCACATCTTTCATCATTAAACAAACAGTTCCTTGCAAAAATCTCCCAGCTGTGAGAAAACCACTTGGAAGAACATTTCAGTGTCCCACATATGTCCGCAGGACTTGATAACTGGGGCTCTCAATTGTGCTCACAATTCCCTGGGACAGGCCCATACAGCTCAGGCCCACCCACATCATCGGTTCATTTAAATGTTCTCCCAGCTATGTGGCAGCAGTTCATGGATAAATGGCTGTACATCTGGGGAGATGTATGTAAAGCACCATAGTCACAGGCCACTAGAAAGGTGAGAACTACAGACAGATGACCTATACATGCATGTTGGACTTCTGTCTCCAGCAGATACCATTGTGTTGCGCTCCCCCAGCATGAAGATGCTCCTCTGGGGTGGGAGGTGACTGGTAGTGTGTCTGAGCTGCCAGTGTTTGCACTGGGGAAAGATGACACTGAGAAATGCCATTCGGAATCGCCTGGACAGTAAATTGTAGATGATAGGGTTCACAGCAGAACTCAGATAGAAGAAAACGCCTGGAAGAAAAAAAATAAAGGAAGAAATAGGGAGAGAGGAAGAGATTTAAAAAGCCCAATTAGTAAGTTAAACTTGCTGTGCTGACCTCAGTTGACTGATACAAGGTATACTGGATAATACCTCCTGCTACCTAATTACAGGCATTTACCTTTGCTAGAATGATAGTTAGTTTCTGGTACCAAGAAGAAGAAGAAGAAAAATAATAATAAGAAGAAGAAAATTGCAGCAACACTGAAAAGAGTCAAATGACCCAATACTGATGCAAAGCAATTAAGAGAAAGGAACACTCTGTTATGAACGAGGCTTCTGCTACTATCAAGTAATAATGGCAGATCAGGTAAAGAAGCACTTGCTTACCCAGGCTTTCTATTGACCATTTCTCTGTTGATTATTTAAAATGTCATCATAATATGGGATTATTGTTTATCTGTTTGTTACTTGTAACATGTGCTGAGCTCCTCCTCTAAGCAAAACAATGTGAAACTATCTGGTCATCTTTTATCACCTACAACACAGCATGGTGGCCACAGTGCTGTGCATTTAAAGTGCTTTATTTTAAGTGATTTTTCTGCAAATTCCAGAGTGGTGCATCTTTTTGCATATATACCAGTATTGATACAATACTGTTCAATTATGTCCTCATATGACATAAAACTTCCAAATTATAAATGATCTGCCAATTACTGTATAGTGTAATGAACTCTCATAAAATCTTGTGTGCTAAATAGCGCCACTAATGACATGTGAAGTTGTGAATTCCAGACAGCTTATGAAGAGGAAAAGCAAGAATGGGGGCTCCATCTCAAATTTTGCATCTAGCAACTGAAATTATTAACTGGTGGGCATTTTTCAAGTTTATCTGTTAATTTATTAGAGGATGAGTTGGCTACTCTTAGACAATGACTGAATAAAACAATCACATTTTTTTCTTCCCAAGATTTTGCCTGCTTACGCCCATTACTGGCAGTGTATTTAGAAAGATGTAGCTCTGTTTAGGATTACACCCGTCATCTTGGGTTACTGGAGTTTGACGATCACTGAGCACTTTATGTGATTTAGGACTGGTTTTTAAATTGTATAATATGTTTTTTTAAAGCTATAGATATATGCTGTTTTATTGTAGCAAGTGTATCTTGCCTTGTAAGCCGCCCTGAGCCCTACGGGGGAGGGCGGGGTATAAATTTGAAAAATAAATAAATAAATAAATACACGATTTATGATCACATTCTGATAAGAAAGACTTACCTGACACCACATGGATTAAGTTGAATATACTGGCCAGTGACTCTGTCCAATGTACAACAAAGCTGTAGAAGAGTCGGTCTGTGTGGAATGGAGCCCAGCAGATAGCAAATACGATCACAAGGACAACTGTGACAAAGGAGAGAGAGTGGGGAGCAAAGCACAACTGTTTGCCATTCTACTCCCATGAACCAGGTGATTCAATAAAGTAAATGAGTATTCCAGATGGCTTCCCACATTATCAAATGGAAATCTCATGTAATTGCATTTTATAATATTTGTTTTTCTCCTTTATGCTCTGCCCACACATGATGAAATTAATTTACAACAAGAAGCGTAATACAGCACGTATATTAGTCTACTAGTGTTCTGTGGGATGGCATTGATTTTTTATTAGCGAGATAAAATACACTTAGTGGTTTTGAACATCCTTGAGCATTCCATTGTGAACAAGCAAACTCTAAATAAGACAACAGTATTACTGATGCCAGTGCAGACTTTGATGGGAAGCATAACTTCGACAATTATTTCTTATGGGATATTTGACTATATTGCACACATTTGAGACGACCAGTTCTGTGTCTGCATATCTATCCCAAATCAAGGTGTTGTTGGAATGAAATGCATGTATATCTTGTTCATTCACAGATATTTGAATATCAAAAGATATACAGATATTGAAGTGATCATCTAATATATAAAAAGAAGTTAAATACATTGCATGACTCTTACATAATGTAATTGCATTGGCATTTCAGGTATTGTTTTCTTCAACACTGAAATAATAAATGGCGAGTTCTTAATTGTTCTTCCTGCAGTGAAGAATGGTGGTGTTCCATTGGTGTTCCCCACATTCCCAAAGAAGACTGCAGCAGTGCAATAATCCAACAATTTGGCTTCCCTGCCACAGAATAGGCTGGAAACCACAACACCCCATTTCAGCTGAAATGTGTATGCTCACAGCTAAAAATGCTAAAAAGGGAGAAGGTTAATGATTTCATAATGCAACAGATTCTTTAGGTATTTATGTGGCCAAGACTCACCTGAATAGGTCTGGATTGCAGCGTGGGCTCAGGAGAGGTTGGGAGGAAGAAGAGGAGATTGGATTTATACCACACCCTTCACTTGGCGTCTCAGAGCGGCTTACAATCTCCTTCCCTTCCTCTTCCCACAACAGACACCCTGTGAGTTAGGTAGGGCTGAGAGAACTCTTTCAAGGACTGCTCTTGAGAGAACAACTTTGAGAGAACTTTGACTCATAGAGAACTTTGACTCATCCAAGGTCACCTAGCAGCTGCATGCGGAGGAGTGGGGAATCAAACCCAGTTCTCCAGATTACAGTCTGACGCTCTTAACTGGCTCTCCCCTGCCCTTTTCCTACAGTTGGCAGAGGTGGGAGCCTCAGGCTACCATTCTGGCAGGCCCCATATCATCCAAGGGATAAGCCTGGTTGAATACTGGAAGTTTTGGTGAGCTCTACGCAGCAGTGATGTAGAGCCTGCCCATTGCTACTTAAACTGTGCTGCTGCGTGGATTCAGCAGTGTGATTTTCTTGGGATCGTTGGCTCTGTGTGGCTCATCTCCACTCTCTTCACCTCTGCTCAACTCTACTTGGCTCTGCGCGGCTCTGCTCAGTGTTGCTTGCCCTTGGCTTCATTCACGTTTTTAGGAGCCTTCCAGGTCTGATTGGCTCAGTTCAGTTTGGCTCCTTCCTTCAACAGGTCCCCATGGTGCGGCTTTTGGCACTCGAATCTGAGCATCGGATTAGTGGCCTGGCTAACAGAGGCTTCCTAATGAGTGACTCTCTGGCAGCTTCAGGGGTTCTTCAGCTGTATCAGGTGGGGGAGCCTTTGGGGGTCTCTTCCCTTGCAGCTGGAAGGTAACTTATATACTGTGTACACAAAGCTGCAAGGACCATAAGGGAGCAAAAATCATTTGCTGTACAGCTGGGTGGTTCGTGTCTTTAAACTTTGCAGGTTGAGGGTAGTCCATTTTATATTTGTGTGTGTGTGTGTGTGTGTGTGTGTGTGTGTGTATTAGGAAACAATCTATTAGTATTGTAGTTATAGGAAGCTGCTTAAAATTAAGCAGATTCTCTTAAATGTGGTTTGGAGGGTATTTTAAGAAACGGTAACTGCGTCTATAATTGTTCTGTTTAGTGCTGTACTAGAACATTGCCTAATTGCAATTTAGCAAGATCAGTGGGGCTCTCGCTGCCTTGCAGGTTCTTTGTATGTATTAGTTTACAGTTGATATTCTCATTAAATAGGCTCATTTGGGCTTATTTGTTGTGAAGTTGTAGCTACAGTAAGTAGGTCAAATTTAGTCAAGCCATGAATTTCCTGCAGGCAATTTAAGTCTGAGTCCCGCAGCTAGTGGATTATTTTTACTACTTATGAGCAAGATGGCTACAAAGCATTCCTCTTCCAACCACAAAACCAGTGCAATTGAGAGTCTGGTGCCCTCTGCAAAAAATGCTGGTAAAGGTAAGCACAAGACCACCATGATTACAATGAGGTCAGGTAAACAGATGGCTAAGAAGCTACCCCCTGCTAAACCTGGCCCTTCTTCAGCCTCGACCAGTAGCAAGAAAGGATCCCAGGCACCATCAAGGTTGGGGTGCACCAATCCTGCTAAAACCTCCATCTCCAGCAATGCCCCTAATGTCACCCCAATGGTGGACAATTCAGCAATCCTGCTGGGGATTGCAGAGACTCTGGAGCACCTCTCAGAGTGCTTCGATCAAATGGGAGGACAGTCAGCATCAACAGCACAGTTGGAACTTGAGCATAAGAGCACAGTCAAGAGGCTGCTTTCCCCAGCAGAGTCCATCTCGTCCGGTGATTCCGGCGAGGAGGAGGTGCAGTGTCATCCTCGGTGCAAGAAGAGGTGCACCAGGAAGTGCAAGTCTTGGCAACATGGGAGTGTGAGGTGGCCTGTGATTAATCATGGTCAGGCGAGTCTTCCTCTGATGAGGATTCCATACATGCGGCAGGGGATTATTGGGTAAAAGGGGCTCCTATCCCCAGTCTGCCACCCTGGGCATTGAAACATAGGGGGTGAGCAGGTCCTGGTGCTTTATGGGGATTGGAGCTGCATGATGCTAACAGAGCTACTCTGACCTTTAGCAATGCAGAAGACCCCCCCCCCCAGCATTCATTTCCCTAGGAAGGTCAGGGAACATATTCTGGATTATATAGATGTTTTTTCCTTAAACCAGAAAGGGATGAAAGCATGCATGGGGCTCGTTCTGAAAGAAACAGTTCCAAAGAGACAGTGGAGTGTAATTTCATAAATTTCATAATTTCATAAAGACTATGCAGTCTTTATGGCGGTCATGCTTTCAGTATATCCCGAGCATGGCTGGCACTTGGTCAAACACATGTCAAATGTTTTGAAGGCTTGGACCATGGCCAATGAAACCATGGCTATAGAGTATGATAAGGCTTTTCGCAAGAGGGCCTTTTATAGTGAGGTGGCCAGTGAGGCCTCATTAATGATAAAAACTGGCTGATAAAAGTGGGACCACATATGAGAACAAGGACTGATTTTTCAAGACCTAAACTAGGCTTCAGGCCTGAACCCCCCCCCCCCCCTTCAGAGTCTGCTTGGAGTACAATCAGGGTAAATGTGGCAACATAAAGTGTAATTCGATCATAATTATGATGCATGTTTTGGCCCACATCCAAGGCTGTTGTGCTCTTGCAGTGGTGCTCAGCCCTTTCAGGGATCCTGGTCCTCTTCCAATTCTTCCAATTCCAGTGGGGAAAAGGAAGCAGGGTTGGGTAATTCCAGTGCTCCTAACAGCTCCTATAAGCACAGATAGGTCAGTTTTTTTTTCTTGGGCACACACCCCAATTTACCTCCAGGCTCAGGAACCTTTGTTTGTATCTTATCTGAATAGGAAAATGATGGTCTTTTTGTGGGAGGGTTTCACATCAGTTTTAAGAATTCCCTGTTATGTTCCACGTTTTCCCACAGATTGTGAGAACCTTAAATTGGCTAGGGATCTGCCAGAGGTAGTCAGGAAAAAGGTGGCAAAGGAATGTGCTGAGGGCAGAATTGCAAGCCCCATTTATGACACCTTCTTTTGATAACCTCGGGGTTTCCCCACTAGGAGTGGTCTCTTGGTGAATTTTGCCTTTTACATCATTTTTCCTACCTCAGGGGTTCATCAGTCAGTTCTGACAATCGCCCCTTTATCCAAGGACATAAGCATCATTACCAACAAACTACACATAGTGCTTTGCCATTCCAAGACTGACCAACAGGGCAAAGGTACCTTAATCATGTTGTCTCAGCCCCTTCCTGGTAGCTGCAGTTCTGGTACGGCACAGCGACGGGTGGCTCTTGGAGTTCTCCAAGCCATCTGACCCCTTTCCATCTCTTTTTTGAGTCTTCCAGCTGTCAGGAGAACTCAATCAGTCCTCCCGGAGAGAGGGCTGGAGCAGGGGGCTCGTTTTTTGGCCCCCTCCGCAACTGGCAATGTGTGGGGGGTGACCATTAATGCCCCGAAGCAGGAGTGGTCAATGGGGTAGAACATGGCCACCATGTTCTACATAGATGCAGCCATCCGTTTTAACCATACTGGGATAAATATTTACAACAATTGCAGCAACATAGGAGAAGAAAACAAGGAAATCGTGAGTATGCATACATCAGAGATTTAAAGAAGAAGAAAATGAAAATACCCCAATTAAATGTGTCCAGATTTGAGAAGGATAGCGGCCGGGAGAATTGTACTTGGTGTCTTTAAGTAATTATTTTCTTTTTTTGGGGGAAAGAAGGACTAGCTGTTGGCATTTTTGGCTTGTGTTGTGTCTATTCAGCGGCAAGAACTTACTGGAGATAATGGCTAGCAGAAAGTTTATGGGCTATTGAGAACATTGTTTTGTAAAATAGAAAGAACTGGCTTGAAGAATTCGATTAAAATGGCATTTGTGCTGGAGAAAGAGGAGGAGATCAATGAAAATATGGAGGTGGGTGAGTTAACGGTTGAACAGTTTATCAGAGTCTTGAAAGAGGCAATACAAAAGGGATGTGAAGAAGCATGTACAAACATACTGAAAAAGCATACAGCACCCAAGTAGAAACGGAGGAAATGCAGAAGCAGGAGCAACTTATTATAA